GTATCTCTCTGTTTCTTCGTCGCTCGTCTGTTCTTCCTGCTCCTCTGCTTGTCTCTCTCTCTCTCTCTCTCTCTCTCTCTCTCGCTTCTCTCTCTCTCTTCGCTCTCATCTCTCTTCTGTCATGTCATATCTTTTCTCTCCCCTTCTGCGCCTCGGTCCGGTTCGCTTCTCCGGGAGCTTTCCCACCTCTCTGTCGCTCGCTCGCCCTCGCACTCTCTGTCTCGCTCCTCTTTCTCTACTCATCATACTCTCTCTAGCTCCTCTTCTCTAACTCTCTCTCTCTCTCTCTCTCTCTCTAGATCTCTCTCTGTCTTCTCATCTCTCTCTCTCTCTCTTTCTCTCTCTCTCTCTCTCTCCCCCCTCTCTTCTTTTCCCTGATATGATCGCCTTATACAAGTAGCCGGTCAAGATACTCTACAAAGCACAACCGAGTTACGAACAAAATGGTTCTAAAACGTTTGTAAATACATTCTGCGAATATCCTAGTCCATATTAATTAGAGCTTCCTTTCATTCTCACGATAAACCCTATAATAACCCATATAACTTCTCCCAATAGTCAGCGTACGTATATATACCATATATACACTATACAACCAAATCTAGTACCTGCAACATATGGCTAATGCTAGAAAACACCAGCAGATTCATAACATATGTGTGCTATAGTATAATAAATAATACGAACGTAAAAAATTAACCTTTTTGGTATGCTCAACTGGCGAGCGGTGCACGCCGTTGCCTTGAAAATATGTGAATTTGCCATGGCCTTCAGCGACGTGATTGGCACTAGAAATTTGACGTTCACGAATTTAATATCTGGTTTATATGAAATTGGAAAACGAAAATTGACGAACTAATTAGGGGTGATTGACTCGCATATAGACTGCCTGGTAATGTTGCCCAGGTTAACAGGTTACAGGTAATGGGCTGACAGGTTAAATATATACTTTGTAATGCACAATAATTATATATCACATAATAACACCTACGTATGTGCACCTCTTGGTATGTTCAACTGGAGCCCGGTAACCACTCAATCGTTGTACGATGCTTCTTCTAAAACATAATAATTATCCGTGTCCTCCAGTCTGGCGATTGACACTGAACATAACTTTGATGCGTATATATATAAATTCGTTGTGTTTATTGTGAGCTTATACAAGGAAAGCGGAGAAAGAATCAAAAGAGACTGACTGACATATAGACTTTACCGTTAATTATACCCAATCGCTTGTATTTAATACTATTTTCCCGCATATTTATGCAACTATATAACGCATGAAAGGGTACGAACTTACAATTTAACTCAGTCAGGTATGTGTGTTATCCTGATTATTCCATTTATATGCTGTAATTAAACGAGTGAACGGCATGAATTAAGTATGAAATTATAACAGCTACGGAAGCTTCAGTTGAGGAAGAATTCCTGTATAATTTCCTCACGTTAGCTGTAATTATGATAAGCATTCGAAGTTCTCACAGCTTTAATATTTGACGACAAAAACACAGAGAAAACATATGGCAGGGACTCTTCTTGCCACGTGTATACTGACCGTGATATATCTCGCGAGAGAGAAGCCCGTTACATCGTGACGAAACCCGATGTTAATCAGGTCAACGATATATCCATCTGGGTTATTCCATATGTGCGCACTTTATAATTATTTTTCGCACTAGATGCCGCTAGGATTTTACAATTCAACATAGCATATCCTTATGTCATTGGATGGTCGCGCCTCTAGCGGATCACTATCATTAATTTATCGACGCGGGCGTTTGTTTCCCCATAGATCTGCCTCTCAACCAGGGTGCGCTCGTCGCCGCTCTTCCTCCTGGGGAGAGACAGAGAGGGAGAGGAGGAGCGAGTGAAAGGAGAAAAAAGAAGGAGCAAGAGAGAGGGGGAGAGGGGGACGCGTTCTCTCGTGTATACGTGGATGATGCTGCTGCTGCTGATGCTGATGCTGATGCTGATGCCACTACTACTACTGTTGCTGCTGCCGCTGCTGGTACCACTGCTGCTTGTGCTGCTGCTACCTCTGTGCCTGCTGCTGCTGCTGCGTTCATTTGAGGATGCGGAGGCTGACTTAAGAAGCATGCCATCACGAAGTACCCGCGCGGGACTCGGATGGGATGGTTCGAGTCGTGAGTACGGTAGCGTGTTATGGGCGTCTATGGAGACAGAGAGATAGATGCGACACCAGAACAGTGACTCCGGGAGAGCCATTTCATTGTTCTGTTCCCATCCTAAAGCACAAAACTACAGGGGAATGAATATACCCTCTATCTATCATTCAAATGTATATAGTACCGGGAGGGTAGGTATAGGACCCAGGTAGGTATAGGTAGGTAGGTTGTCTACCGTTTAAAAGTCAATAGCTTTTAGTAATCTAAACACTTTAGTAATCGTTATAGCAGTGTAAATTAAATTACTCGGTAACATAACGGGAGACCTCTCATTCGAAGCATCGTCGAAATAGCAGAACTATTTGTTAAAATTATAGGTTAAAAATAGATATTAAATATTCTTCGCAGTAGCTTAACGTGAAAAATGAACCCGAATGCCTCTGTTTATTAATAATAGGAATCCAAACTGACGTGATACTTTTTAAATTAAATTGGTCACTAGGTCCGGAGTAACATGGTGGGCGATCGCGCATGCCGAGTATCTCACGAAATAAATGCGTGCGCGAATCCGTGCGTACGCCAGTGTGTGCGTGCGAGCACGAGTGCGTGCGTACGCCAGTGTGTGTGTGCGTGCGTGCGCGAATCCGTGCGTGCGTGCGTGCGCGAATCCGTGCGTACGCGAGTGCGTGCGAGCACAAGGGCGTGCGTTGCACGCATCACTGACAGAAGGTACAACGCGAGGGATTTTAGTATTACAACAATCTGCCAACAAGTTTTAATGTATTTCACAGTCGTGTATGTACAACCTGTTTTACGACCTGCACAACAAGCCGAGCGTGGCTTCATCCCCGCGAGCAGCAGGTGTACTAGCGCTAGTCTGCGGTAACCAGGCGCTCTGTACAGGGTGTGCCTAGAGCAAACAAAGACTCACTGGCTACACGTGCAGGTAGCAGAAAACGTCTACGGGATACACGCAACACAAATAAATTAGAATAAAGTTAAATACGAATACAAGAAGTAAAGGCATGAAACCAAATTAAACGTACACTATTTACATTCCCCCTTCCTCATCGCAAAATACAGCGGGAGCAGGAAACAAGGACCCCCCCAATCGCGACCGGTCCTACATACGTGCGCGATGCACACGCACGTGCCTGTGGTATCAACGTGGCGTCACGGTCTGTCATAGCAGCCAATCACAATAAATTCCTGTCAACGTGTATATACGCCTTCCCCTACTCCCCAGTGTTACACAAAGAAATAACTGCCGTAATATGATATGCACAATATTAAACCGATATACATATAGTAAACACTCAAGTCACGTGATTCCCGTGACGTATCAGAGGCTGCGAGACCAGTAGACGAATATCGTCGTGTGCGAAGCGGGGGTCAACTAACGTCATTACACTAAATAATTACCAATGACAAGGTTTATTATTGCTGTCAAGTCTGAAGCAGTACCTAGTGACGAGCCCCACACCATCCCTACAAAGCACCCCTCGACCTCCGATCCAGGTCAGTTTATTGTAGGTTCATAAAATTCACGAAATCGGCAAGGACTACAGGTGTCATCGACTAGGCTTCCTGCATTCAGCAAAATAAAATATGATTATGACATCCTTGCACTATAAAAGCATGTGCTCATCACCAGCTACACACTCTGTGTAACCCGGTGAAAACCTAAAAAACTAGCTAGCTAGCCAGACTAGCTGATAGTATGGACAAGATCATAAAGTCAGCCATATTATGTCTAATATATCCTGAACTGTGAAAGAGAGAGAGAGAGAGCGAGAGTTACAACAATGCCAGCTTTCCTCTCTGTTTCTCCCCCCTCCCTCCTCATCGATCACTTATCACTTAATCCCACCATCAAAACTAACACCGCCTAACCATGTCCCTTCTCACACTGCAAAAAATCCGGCTATATAAGAGGCAGTCAGCCAGTGTACTAATCTTACCCATTTAAATCGTTATCACATTATTCATGAATTCTCTTCCAACACGAAGTCGCAGTCATGATTGGAATTCATTACATATTCCTTCACGCCATTAATCTAGTAGAAAATTTGATTACAGCTGATGTAGACACTGTAGTTGCATCTGCTAACAACGACAATGAAGTTGTCATAGCATCTGCTAATAACAATGAAGCTGTTGATGCGTCTGCTAACAATGACGACAGTGAATCTAGAATGTCTCAGAGCATCTCAGAGGTTTTCGACGACAGCGATGGTTGCCTTGTGGATGACCTCTCGGTCGACCTTGGCGTGCTGCTCCAGGGCCTTGATGGAGGAGGACAGCTGTATGTGAATATCCAGCAGACGACTGCACACCTTCTCCATCGCGTGGTCAGGCTGTGTCGCCGCCACACCTGCAACAAACAGCAGCGCCACCTACGGTGAGAAATAAGCTTTAAATCTAGCCCAGATTTTTAAGACGATTTTAAATTCGTCACGGAGCGTAGGATTTGGCGAGAGAGAGAGAGATTGGGTTTTCGACAGTATGGGTCCGTCGCTCTTCGATGTTGAAGTGAACCATTGCAGGGTTTTTGATTGCAAGGAGAGATTTACGTTAGCGACGCGAAGTAATAGTCGGATATCATTGCCACTAGGGGGGCTTCCACTAACCTGACTTTCGCTCACCGATCTGCCTGCAGTAGAGGGATAAGAGAACATCCATGTCATCTTGCACACTGTTTCCAAACATCTCACATGGTCCGACCGATCTGCAATGTGAAGTCAGTCCTCAGTCAAACAATAAATGAATGAATCAATCAATCACCCATCAATAATAACATCTTGTGAATATCAAGCAATTTGCCATAGATCTGACTGTTGCCAACTCTTGCTGTTGCCACTCTTAATGACGAGGTTACTTGCTAAATAACCGAAACACAGCATGAGAACTATTTCACCAATTAACCTTGGCATCGCTAACAATGAGCTTTCTCTCTCTCTCTCAACCCATCTCTTTATCTATATATCTACATATATCTAAAATCCATGTAGCCTCATGAAAAACACAGATTCGATTGATTTCATACGGCTATATATTTCCTCTGATCCTATTTGAAATGATGGTAACACGTGATGCTGTGAGAGATGCTGTCAGTAAACAACAGCAGGTGAAGCCAGCCTCACCCACCTGTAGGTATGCAAGAGCTTCACCGCTCCGATCAGCTTCCCCTTGCACAGCTGCTCAGCCAAGTTACACTCGGCGAGGCTCTGGTCAAAGGTCATGAGGTCGAGTGGGGGCAGCGGCGACGTGTGCTCGATGTGACCGTGTTCAAGGTCGTGGATGGCCTTACGTAGATCTTGCTGCAGGCAGGAGACGTCGCGCGAGAAATCACTGATCTGTGAGGGAGAGTGCAGCATGAGGTTAGTTAGATACAGGAACATATGTCACTGTCACTCATAGCTTATCACTGATCTGTGAGGGAGAGTGCAGCATGAGGTTAGCACAGATCAGTGATAAGTTATGAGTGACAGTGACATATGTCCCGTATCTAACTAACCTCATGCTGCACTCTCCCTCACAGATCAGTGATAAGCTATGAGTGACAGTGACATATGTCCCGTATCTAACTAACCTCATGCTGCACTCTCCCTCACAGATCAGTGATAAGCTATGAGTGACAGTGACATATGTTCTGTATCTAACTAACCTCATGCTGCACTCTCCCTCACAGATCAGTGATAAGCTATGAGTGACAGTGACATATGTTCTGTATCTAAAGGGAGAGTGCAGCATGAGGTTAGTTAGATACAGGACATATGTCACTGTCACTCATAGCTTATCACTGATCTGTGAGGGGGAGAGACAGAAATATTAAATACAGAACCGAGTAAAAGACATGTGCCGTCATTACTAAGACTCATTACCGACCTGTGGAGGACAGTGTGATACGTAGTTAGACGTAGATGTAGCGCACAACAGGACCACTCAGGAAAATCCTCACTAGATCGTAGTTCTAGATCTCTTCTATCTAGATCGCACAATGTTCGAGCTCACCTGTGCAAGTTTGCAACCAGTCTGCAGCAGCGATATCAGCTTTGCGAAACTCTGGAACAGTAGCAGCAGCTGGAAGTGGAGCTTGTAGAGCGATCGACACATCTCCACTCTCTGTAACAGTACGCACACACACACACACCAGATTAGATTTGACGTGCTTAACTCTGTATTATTTATCTACGAATCTACGATATCATTTACGGCATCACGTCTACTCATTAAATAATAAATATGAAGATTAGATAAAAGCAGATTCTAATAGATCAATAATCATATAACATTAACTATCAGAATGCAGAATCAATGGTGAAAAAGTTTTTTTTTAGTTTAAGTACAAAAGTGGAGAGTACAGAGTTTCATTACAAAAATGGTGGAAATGAAGTCTTTGAACATTATTAAAACAATTGCTGGTGAACTATGTTAACCAGTTACATTAAAATAAGGTACACATGTAATGCAGAGAAAGGCAACCTTGTCGATAATCATCCATATACACATCGACACAGACACACTCTTACTTACATCAAGCTAAAGAACCACAGGAAAGCACAAAAGAAATGTCAATAATGTTGAAATCAGGACAGCACAAGTGTAATATGTACCGTCACGACTAAATCAAATCTCCAGGCTATAAGTACGCCTCATTTCAACAACAAAATGGCTGCTGTAGACCACATGCAACGATAATCTCACAAAACTTTATCAACCCCAATCGCTTAAAAACAGATTGCATTTTAAAAACATTCTCACAACAACGAAGTCTCCCCATGGAAGACTCTCTCATGCGACGATGTGACAACACTGTATTGATGCATGGGTGAAACACCCCACTCCTAGTAACAACCTTGCACTAACATTCCATGATGTCGAGGAAATGACACGCCATCTAGTAGCCAAAATGTGATTCTCGCATCCTCTCCTACTGAGGGGTAAATTCTTCCTCACATGCTTCTTGCTGGCTCTAATCCCTCTGCAACCTTCCTTCTTGACGTCACCCTCTTTCCCTCCTTCCTGGCTACCCCTTCCTCCCCCTTTCCTTGCTGGCTTCTACTTCCTCTCTCTTTTCTTCTTGACTTCCCTGTCTTTCCCTCTGTGCTAGCTTTCCTCTCCCTGGCTCCTTTCTTCAGCTCCTTTCCTCCCTGCTAGCTTCCCCCTTCCTTACTGCATTCCTTTCTTTCCCCTAATACCTGACTTCCCCCTCTCTCTTTCCTCCCCCTTCCCTCCTTCATGTCTTCCCCTCTCTGGCCCCCTTTCTTCAGCTCTCTTCCTCCTTGCTAGCTTCCCCTCCCCCTTCCTTACTGCATTTCTTTCTTTCTTCTAATACCTGACTTCCCCCTCTCTCTTTCCTCCCCCTTCCCTCCTTCATTTCTTCCCTCTCTCTGGCCCCTTTCTTCAGCTCCCTTCCTCCTTGCTAGCTTCCCCTCCCCCTTCCTTACTGCATTCCTTTCTTTCCCCTAATACCTGACTTCCCCCTCTCTCTTTCCTCCCCCTTCCCTCCCCCTTCCTTGGTTCTCCCGCCTCACCTGCTCCTCTCCGGAGAAGTTGTGCATGGTCTCGCCGAGTGACTGCAGCTTCAGCGAGGACTTGATTCCGTCGAGACATTCCACAGCATGCTCGCGACGCTCTGAGTACGTCTCAAAGTGCTCCTGTATCTCCAGCACACAGAACTTGTGCTGCTCCAGCACCGAGCATAGCATCATCTGTAGCACAAACACGCAGCCATGTAGCACAAATACCAGCCATATAGCACAAATACCAGCCATATAGCACAAATACCAGCCATATAGCACAGATACCAGCCATATAGCACAGATACCAGCCATATAGCGCAAATACAGCCATATAGCACAAATACAGCCATATAGCGCAAATATTAGCCATATAGCACAAATACACGCACACGCACACGCACACATGCCCGCGCACGCACACATACACACACACACGCACACATTTTGCCAGTGAATTTAATTAAAAGATGATTAGTCATCATGCGTAGACTGGACGTGTATTGTTCTCTTCTATGACTCCCTTGGAGATCGCTCAACTCGCCTTCTGAACCAACCATGATCCTTTTGAACCAACCATAACCCTTCTGAACCCACCGTAACCCTTCTGAACCCACCGTGACCCTTCTGAACCCACCGTGACCCTTCTGAACCCACCTGACCCTTCTGAACCCACTGCAACCCTTCTGAACCCACCATGCCCCTTCTGACCTCATCCTGACCCTTCTGAACCCACTGCAACCCTTCTGAACCCACCATGCCCCTTCTGACCTCATCCTGACCCTTCTGAACCCACTGCAACCCTTCTGAACCCACCATGCCCCTTCTGACCTCATCCTGACCCTTCT